AGCTTCCAGACAATGTACACAATTAATTGGAGCAAGTTGTGTTTGAAATCAGTGAAAGGTCATTAATCTATGATGAATCGCAAAGAGGAGAATAAATATACTGAGAAAAACCATACCAACCAATGAGTCTATGGTACCCAATTTTCCTCAGAAAGTGGGATAAGTGGGGAAGTCATTCAATTGTTAAGTAATAACAGAATTCTAGGGTTTGTTTAATTGATAAAATATCTTCTCCTCATTGGATAATTCCAATAGTTAATGTAGTTTTCCTGAGATAAAAACAATATTTTATCTGCTCAATTGATGCTTCCACGCCAGATCTGAGGTCAGAGTGTGAGATGCAGGAATAGAGAGGCCTGAAACCTATGCATGTCTCCTGCTCCTGGGGAATATCTCCTGCCTAACGGGACGCTCACTTTTTACCAGTATGTCTTCAGGAGAGCTTTGGAGACTTGAAAAACCGTAATTCTGCATAAAGAAATACATTATCCCCCCTTTTCTTGTAAATATCTTTGCACATTTCTCATCCTTGAACTGTTAAAGAAACTGAACATGTCCTGTAGGTATCTTTTCATGACTCTAATAATCATCCTATTGGGACAATCATGCATAATCCATCCAGGTAGATCTCTCTTACCTACTCTCAGACTAAGTTAAATGATGCCAGCTCCCCACTTTTCTACTCCAAAGAAACATATTTTGTAGCCATTTTCCCAGTGTACCATGAATGTCTGTTTATATATCTTCCCCCATGTGAACTTCAAGTTTCTGGAGAGAAGAATCTAAGATTTTTCTTCTTGTTATTTCTTCCCACTCCTAATAACAACATCCTCTTGCAAATAAATGTTTGAACAAATGAATAAATTAGTCACCTCCTCTTCACTTCAGTGTAGTCTCAATCCCAGCCATCTCAGTCTACATATGTTTTCTGAAATGAGTTATTTATTTTATTTTCCTGAGTCTTTGTTCCTGTTTTGACATCTGTAGCAGGTTTAATTGTTTTTCCCAAAAGATATGACTAAGTTTTAACCCCTTGTACCTATAAATGTGACCTTCTTTGGAGAGACAGTTTTTGTAGATGTAATTAAGGGTCTCGAGATGAGATTATCCTGAATTATAGTGTGTCAAAGAAAAGTTGTAATGGACAAATTAAACAGCCAAAGAGGAGTTTGTCCAAGACTATTGCAATTGAGGAGGATGTGTAAGTGCTGGGGTTAGCTAGTGGAAACATACTGGAGCACATTAGAAAGTATGTTGATTCATGTGATTAGGTCAATGTGATGCTTTTGCTGTTTGTCACTTACCTAAGTTAGGCTCCTAGACCTCCCTGTTTGTTGCTTACCTAAGTTAGGCTCCTAGACCTCCCTGTTTGTCGCTTACCTAAGTTAGGCTCCTAGACCTCCCACAGAGACTGGGCAGATGGTGGCTATCTTCCTTGAGGATACCTTTCAAAGAGATAGCTCCAGGTCATTGAGAAAGAAATTCCTGTGTTATAAAACTACCAAGAGGATGGGAGAATATTTATATCTCAAAAGGGCAGACAGAAAATTTACAATTGAAAGTTTTCTAAAGTGAATATTGTGCTAAGAAAGGGGAGGTCAGAGGCCTGTCTAAAGTTTAGGGAAACTGAGGGGAATCTTAAGGCTACCTTGCTCTTGTGGACCTTAAATTCAATGACAGTATTCTTATAAAACATGTCCTTATACTATCAAAACAATTGAACTTATGGACATAGAGGGTAGGATTGTTACCAGGGCTGGGAAGGAAAGTAGGTGGAGGGGGAAAAGGTAGGAATGGTTAATGTGTACAAAAAAATTGAAAGAATGAATATGACCTACTATTTGACAGCACAATGGAGTGACTATAGTTAAGAATAACTTAATTGTACATTTAAAAATAACTAAAAAAGTGTAATTGGATTGTTTGTAACACAAGGGATAAATGCTTCAGGGTACGTATAACCCATTCTCTATGATATGATTATTATGCACTGCATGCCTGTATCAAAACATCTCATGTACCCCATAAATATATACACCTACTGTGTACCTCAAAACATTAAAAATAAAAAATTAAACGTCATTGTAAGAAATAGGACAGTAGAAGACACCCAGAGTCACAGAAGGAAAAAGCCATGTGGAGATAGAGACAGAGACAGAAGTGAAGTGTCTACAAGCCCAGGAATACCAAAGAACCAACAGTCACTAGATGCTAAGAGTGGCAAGGAATAAATTTTTCCCCAAAGCTTCTGGAGTATCCAAGGCTGCTAACACTTTGATTTAGAAGTTTTTTTTTCCTCCAGAACTATGAGAGAATGAATTTCTGTTTATCTAAGCCTCCTAGTTTGTGGTAATTAGTTAAAGTAGCCCTAGGAAACTAGTATACCATCTTTCTTTAAAAGTTTCTCTCTACTGTTCATTTAACTTCAAATGTCAAAATTCTACATCTCATTTAATGCTGACAAAATTGTTTAGTCCTCCATTCCTTTTTCTTATAATCGATAATACCAGCTAAACACCATGGCTTTTTCCTCTGAATTCTTTTGACAATGAAGATGATAAAGATATTGCAGCTGAAACTTCTTTAGTGTTCGATTTATATCTAATTCCTTCTTATTCCTTGTGAAAACATAATAAGGCAGGTGCTATTATTTTTCAATATTAAGGATGAAGAAACTGAAGAACAGAGGGATTAAATAACACTAAGTGGTAGAACCAAACTTTGCTTTGAGATTTGCCTAAGTACAGAGCCCATATGCTTAGACATTTTGCTATATTTTTTTCTGTTTCTGTCCCTGAATGTTTACTTCTCTCATGTCTCATGTTATCTTTCGTTATGTTCTCTATAAATTTTAATTTTCTACCACAAAATTCAACTGAGGTAACTAAGAAATCACAGATGTATAAGCATATTCATTTATTTTTCCTGTGTTAAAGGTATTTTGATATTATGTTGCCTACATTTTTAAAAATTTAAACACTTCTTGTTCAAGAAAAAATTTTAGGCAATTTCCTTGAACACTTTTAACCTTAAAATGATTTTAAGATTCTGTTTTATTTATCTTTTTTTTAGCATTTGGCACAATTCTTTGAATATCAAAACTGCCCAAATTTCATGGAATGAATTTAGTTAAACCAGTTATCACCCCCTACATGTCCCCTAATTTTCCAGCTTTCTAGGAGCATATTTTTCTGTAATACAGTACTTTAATAGAATGGCTAAAGGCCCTATTCTGCATGCATTAAGAAGCTCAGTGCTTTTCTGCCACACAAAGTTTCTGAATATTATTAAGTTGGGAAAGGGCTCCATTTTTCCTGGTTGCCTGTAACTTCCATTGTTTCCTTTTGAACTGCTACTGTCAACTCTACTCTCAGCGTGTCTCCTGAGATTGCCCTCCATTTCCAATACTGGATACTACTCCACTAACATAAGAGTGTTGTGTGGTAGACTCTTATTGATGGCTTGGAAAATAAAAAGTATTAAAGCATATCATAGTTTTCATTTATTCATTTAATCATTCAGCAAACATACAAACATTCATTGAATATCTAGTGGCACTGTGTTGGACACTGAGGAAACAATGGTAAGCAAACAGGCAAAAGTCTCCATGATCATGTAGCTCATACTCTAGTCAGGAAAACATAAAACTCACACAGGGAGATGATAAATGTAAAATTACAACTTGAAGTAAGTATAAGGAAGGAAACAGCCATGGTAGATTGAGAGCTATGGTAATGAGCTCGAACTGAGAGCTGAAAGGTGAGTAGGCATTAACCAGCCCTGCAGCAGGGGTAGAAGAAGGAGAAAGAGAAAGGCATTAGAGAAAGAAATGACAGCATGTGAAAACAAGCAACAGTGGGATGGAACAACATACATTCCAGCAACTGCAAGAAAGCCTGTGCATTAGGGATACATAGACCCAAGCAAGTAAAGGAAATAAATAAGTCTGGAGAAACCAGGCAAAACCACTTTAACAAATGCACAGTTTACTTCAGGTTTCCTTAATAAATGTAATCTTAATCTTAAAGCGAATGGAGAAATAATGAACAGTTTGATGTAGGAGACTGACATGATCCACTTTGTGTTTTGAAAACAATTCTGCCTACTGTATAGAGACAAGAGTAAAGTGGGTAAGGAATGGTGGATGTGGGAATTCTGAACATGAAGGCTTCATCCAGGTGAGAGATTATGGTGGCTTGGTCTAGGGAAGTGATGGTGGGGATTTGAGAAGCCTTTAGTGCACTATAGACCAACAGAACCTGATGAAATGAGGGGACTGTGGTGTGTCAAGAATGTAGAGTACAGTGGATTGGGAAAGGCAGAAACCAGAAATAAATTAGTTCTAGTCTTAAAAATTGACTAGATTTTTTGGAATATGGAAATTTCTCACTGGCTGCCTCTTTTTAGGCTCTTCCCTAAGACTTTCTCTTTTACTCCCACATTCCCACTCTCAAAACCACCTTCTATCACCGTCTTATTACTTTAAGTGTTCCTGGATTCACACAATTTCTTCATAATGACTTTAATAATGCAATAATTATATGAATAATTTAACACTAAGTCTCCCTTAGTTTGAGGCCCAGCTTTGTACTACCAACAATTTCATTGAACTATGCTAATCTGTCTACCAAAATTCCACACTTAATAATACAAAGACTGTGGAAATGTATTGAAGTCACATCATTTTTTCAGCATATCTTAGAACAAATTCTTAGGCTTAGGCTTCCACCAGAACTTCCATCGTTGTGGAGCTGCGTATAGGGACGGACACTTTAATCATCCTATATGTCATGTCCGATCCTCAAAATTATCAGTTTTAGTGACCCAAGATGGCTTACAAAACCTAAAAGCTAACATACCACAGTCTACACAAAGTAAATACTTTATGTTAACAATGAAGAATCAAAATGCTTAATAATAAATGATGACTTACAATTCTATTTCTGGGGAATAGGAGTACCTATACCTAATGTTGGATTTGTTCTTGTGCTCTTTTGAAGGGAACATCCTTCTGTATCAGAAATTCCCATGTTTCCATATCCAGATTTCTTCACCAGGGCAGATAAAGAGTTGGCAAAAATCATTGACCATCACGTAAGATTGATTTTTTTTTTAACTAGCAGCAAAAGCCTTGTTCTTTAAAAGCACTTTAAATTATAAAATGTAGTTCTGAAACTGAAACCTTAATATGTGAAATTTAAAAGTAGAGCCATGATTGGTTTGCCAAACTGAATTATATCTCACTATGTTATCTGTACACCTTAGTGTCTTCATTGAGTCACAGAAAATTTGACCTTCTGTCATTTGTAAAATACTAGCCTAATCCTGTTTTCTGAATTAGTACCGATTTCTTGTGACAAGAATCTTATATTGAACACTGAACACTGGTTTCTTCTACAGTGTAGTTCTAATAACGGAAGAAAAATCTTTTGGCTCAATTTTCAGTGACCGTTCTTTACCCTTGACAGATCAGAAAGACTGTTAATCACTTTGTTCTTAGTGTGAGTTAAAAAAGCAGTGGCAATATAAGACTATTCGCAGAAGACACTTCAATTCATTGTGCTATATTTAGTTGATAATTTCTTACCAAATACACATCATTTTATGCCTAGTTCTTTTCAGGAGCAGAATTAAAGTATAAGAGAAAATACTTATTTTCTGTTTTTTTTCTTTGAATAAAATATATAGCATACATAATGCACTTAATTTTATCAACAGTAGTTCAATATTATCTCCCAGATTGCAATTATATTAACAGTTAAGTTTTTCACACTACTTTTAAGTAGTAATCTTGTGAAGAGATTATTTTATTTACTGATCACATTAAATAGTTTTTACCACATCACTAGTAATTAAGTGACTCTAGCAACAGCTATAAATACTGGGCTTTGGAGACTGACTGATACCTTGAAATGACAAAATGAGAGCTGCAATATTCTGTTATTCACTAATAAAGTTTTTGTTAAACCAATATGTGTACAGGTCATCTTCAAAAATTTCAAATGGCTTATAAATTTCAACATCTGTATTTTCCTACTCATTACTTCAACTAAATTGTCTAGAAGAAATTATAAGAGATAGCAATTTGCCAACATCACATACACACACACACACACACACACACGTATAAATAACTACTTTGGTCTGTCTAGGGCTAAAGAAAGAGAAGAGAGTATTATGAATGACAGAGATACAGAGATAGCTCCTAACAACCGTGCATTATCTTTTCCTTTTTCCAAGGTGTAAGCATTATCCAAGTAATCACTGCCGTGAGCCTGCTTATATTGTAGCTAAAGAAGGATAAATAAATCTTTTTCAAAAATATGCTTGAAAACTTACAGATCCAAATTGTTTAATGTGTGGATAGCCTAATAAACTAGTAATTCATAGTACTGATTTTGGAAGGTTTATTGAATTGTCTCTGAATATTATATTTTTTTCAGTATTCATGTATATACCACTTCTTTTCAGATGGGTGTAGCAATAGTGCTTTGTACTTATACTTTATGCTTTATAAAATGCTCTTACAGTAGTTAATTTAATCCTTACAACCCTGTAAAACATTTACCAATAAGAAGAACAAACCTACTTACAATTCAGTTACTTGCTCAATGTTTTAAGTAAATGAGTCTATGCACAAAAACAGATTTCCCTACTCCAAATCTACTTTCCCTTCCACTTTTTCATAGCTGCTCAAGTTCTTGGCTTCTGATTCCTAACCGGAATTAGAAGTGGGAGGGTGGGATCTGCAATATCGACAAAGAACAAAAACACATCCCCTCAGCTATAGATATAATTATCCTTCTAAGCCAACAGACTTTTGTTGAGGGGTTATCATATGCAGGGAATAGAAAATATACCTCATTGCTCGGGAGATATTAAGGTACCTTATACATTGCTAGTATTCCATAGCATGATCATTGAATCACTGAGTGAATAAGTTGAATAAAGCAGTAAATGGTGCTTCCACTTCCCATAGATTTCAAACATATCTATTTTTTTTTTGCATCCTCCTAGCTACCACAACAGACAATAATAATGGCATATAAAGTCAAAAAATATAATTATTTACCCAAGTCGAATTGTTGTCATGGTCACCAGAGACAAAAAGAAAGTATGCTTTTTCCTAAGCCTAATGAAAAGAAGGATTTTGAGGTTATGGTGAATTTCAGCCATTCCAAATTCTAAGAAGGGGGAAAAAGGGAAGAGCTGTCTTCTGGAGAGTGATGATATGATACCCCTTCTTGGCTGCTTTTATATGTATTGATGCTTTTATACATGCTGTTTGGGAAACCAAGAATTTTAACTTACTGGCAGTTCTTAAGAATTAACTCTTTTTGATTTTTCACAATTTAAAAAACAAATAATGAGATCTATTGAACTCTTTCATATAGGATAGATTAGTGCTCTTTGTTTATGGATACTGTCATTATTATACCAACTATGACTTCTATGCTCATAAATTGGTAATTTCCTTAAACAACTAGATTATTAGTTTATTATATGAGAAAAATAATACATCATAGTTGAGTATCATAGAACTTGTAGACTAAACCATAGCATGAATTTTAGCCTGTGCCTGACTGTTCTGGAGGTTTTGCCTTAATTTCCCATATATTTTATGCAAAACTGGTTCCTGAGAAACCAAACGTATGAGTAATAACTGTTTATAAATACAGTCTTAAGATAAGTGCAGTTAACTTTTATATTTCTTATGTAATTAAAACTCAACTGGGAATAAATAACGAATTTGATATTATTATGCTTTTATTTTTAATGTTTACTCTAATATGAGTATATTAACGTTTTACAAAATTTTACTGCATTCGTCAAAGCTGAGTGACATGTTATGGACTCTGATATTTAGCTCTGCTTTTCATTATCTGAATATCCCAGATGACAAACGTTATTTGTGATTCACAGTACTGGTATATATAGTAATCTATAAATTAATTAATAGGTTGCTAATCTCAGACTGATCATTTGTGTATATGCACGAGCTGAGGGTGACAAAAAGACAGCATTGGCAGTATCCTTAGGAATTGCCAATATTTCATACTAGGAGTCATTCTGCCCTGAATGTTTTACCCAGCATAAAGTGTTTACCATCTGTTTTCATCATTTCCTTCATCAAATGTATTAGAAGAGAAAAAAAGTTCCTCCTAATTTTATATATATATATATATGTATATATATTTCATGATGATGTTTGATTTTCATTACTTACAATACTTGTCACTCATTCTTAGGGCTCATGCCTTCAGATATACTACTATTTACATGACATCGTGGGTTATAAAGTGAAAAACTAAGTGAAAGCAAAAGAAAAAGAAAATATTATTATGGCCAATTAACATAAATTCTTTAGAAATTTTTTACTGGTCTTCTGCATAGTACGCATTTACCTGACCATTAATTTCATTTTTAACTTCATAGAGAGTAGTATTAGAGTTTTTGCCTTTCTGTTTAATTTGTATTTTCTGTATTTTTTTCTTTCTCTTTTGCTTTCACCTGGTTCTTCATTTTATAACCCATGCTGTCATATAAATACCAATATTGATGAAGAAAGTAAAACCATTTGGAATACAGAAATATAAAACCTATAATGTCTTCTTTTTAATGATTTTTTTATCTTTAAATATATTGAGGAAATTCTGTTTTGTGGGATTTACATGCATTCTAATAGGTGGCACATATGTTTTGCCAGTGTGGTAGATACAAAATTTTTGAGGAATGTCATGGAAAAAACTAAAAGTATAATTGGATATAAGAATCTGCATTTTGAGCAGCTTAATTGATATGCTTTTTTTTCATGGAAAATCATATGTGAATGACATTTTCTCTCTGTAACAGTGGCAGGAAGAGCTAAAGATCCGAGAAAAAGAAGATGCAATATGCAAGGCCCAAGAACTTAAAGATAAAAAGTTAGCAGAGAAAAAACACTTTGAAGAAGTTATGAAGAAAAGAGAAGATAAACTACATAAACAAACTAAGCCCTATGAGCTTCCATATAGGAAGGAAGTAATTTAATTAGAAAAGAAAATGCCACCTCCCAAAACTGAGGTCTACATGGCAGAAATACATAGCATGAAAAATACCAAGAAAGCTACATAGTAAGAGACCTTCTTGTCATTAAATTGAGGTATTGTTTAGAAAGAACTTGTTATCCTGATACAAGCTGTTTAATAGTTATTTCTTAGTTCTAAATTAATGACCAACTTTTAATCACACTTGAATGAAGTGATTTCACTAGTCAAAAATTTCCAAGACTACATATAGTATTTTTCTCAATTAACATTTATCTCATGATTGTACAGCATACTTGATAACTGATTCGCAGAACATTGATGTTCATCAAACAGTTTGATGGAAATTTATTACAGATTAATTAATGAGTCACCATACAAGAATTATTTCCTGAAAACAGAATGAGCATTAGCTAACAATCCTGTAATTACTATTATTCAAATAAAAACATTATGGCATCTTACCTGATTGGCATTTTATAATCAATTTATACCAAACCAAACAAACCCTATTTCAGAGATTTGAATACGGAAGGGCTGGTCATCTTAGACTGATTGGCTTGATCTTTAACAGATGCCAGAGGGGACTCCTGAGAGATGCTGGTTTTACTGTGTTCTGTGAGTTTATGAGAATGAATTTGTATGATCCTGGAAGATGCAGGAGTAACTGTTGAAAACATTCGTACAGATAGGAGTTATTTTAGAAATGGAACTTCACTTCACCTGAAGTTCGGAACCTAAGAGTAAGAGTAACAGGGTGGAGTTTTTATGATGTCTTACATTCCTTTCCTGAAAACTGAAAAATATAAATAATAATCATACCTCAGTTTCACACAGGTGACTTGGTGACACTCAAGAGACAGGGACTTTAGCAGGGGTGTCAAACTCAAATGACTACCAGGTCAGAAAGGAAACATAAATTAGTGAAGCCGTCTAAGGAATACCTATCCTGTCTAGAGAAATTTCCCACCACTTGGTTGCATTCTAAAATGTATGTCAGTATTGTAAAATCCTCCAGTCTTTCAAGAAGCTTTTAAATGGGATTATTTTTCAAAATAAAAGTAGCTACGTAACCAAATGTTGACAATAATTTTTAATAGCATATTTTCAAGTTAAGTTTGATCCATGAACCAAAGTTTGTGACCTATATTATATGAATTCAGGTATCATTCTTTGTTTAAAATAACAATAACAGACGGCAGAAAAATGTTGCATGTAGGCTGCTGTTTTGATTTCCTGTATAGCTAATTCAAACTTAGATTTCTCTTTCTAAACCTTTTATCTTACCCTTGTGGTCTCAAATGGAGACTATGAAAATTCCTAGAAATATCTCCCAATACGCCTTTCCAAATACCTTCCTCCATCTTTGATTTCTTCACTTGTGAAAAAAAAAAAATCTGTAGAAGACCAGCCAGTCCCTTTTCTCCAAATCTTATCCCTTCCAAAATCTTGTTCCATCAACTATTCACTATCTCCTCTTAAGTCCCTCCTCATCACTCACTCCTACACCCATCGAGGTTTCAATTTTCTCCCATCCTTCCGTCCAAACTTCTCTCTCATCAAAGCCATCAGTGACATAAGCCTTACCAAACTCTGAACGTCCTTCTAATTTGTAATCATTTTATTGGTTTGTAGCAAGATATAACAATTAAGCTGTAAGTTTTAGTAAGGGGACTCTGAAGATCTAACTGTTACTTACAAGAATTTCAACAAATCCTGCTCTTTCAGCACCATCTTTGTAAAAGAAACCTGGTATCTCCAATTTCTGAGTCATGGTCCTTAAGGCCTCCTCACTGCAGACTTAGGTTTATGTTTTCTCTGCTCTGCTTAGCGTATTTCTACCTGTTCGCCTTCTTTCTTACTTCCACAATTATCTTAATACTTCCAACGTGCTATTATCTTTTCTTCTTGTAGATTCATACCTTTTTTAAGTAACCTTTTTTATGTCATAATGGTGATTTGGAAGGGAGCTGAACAAATCTTTAGATATATGGAGAAAGAAAGAAAAGGAGAGAGAGAGATGATTAATCAGAATACTGACACCTTTATTCTTAAATTATTTTTAAAATTCTTAATATTTGGCAACAGGCATTTCTCACAGTGTTTCTCACATTTCTCACATTTCTCCTATTTCGCTGATTCTTTCTGCAATATTAGCAAAGACTGTGGGGTGTAGATCTGGAATCACACTCTAGTTACGCTTTCTGCCAGTCACGGAACATTAGGCAAGTTACTGAACCCATTTTCATTTTCATTTACTCATTTATAAAATTGACACAATTTATGTAAAGAGTGATATCATTTAGAAGCTAATTAGGAAAGAAAACAAACCTGTCAGTCATTTTAGCAGAGAGAATTTAATGTAAGAAATTATTTTCAAAGGTGTTAGAAACTGAATAAATGGAAAGGGAGCATAGCAATAACAGAAACAGTAGCTGCAGAAAACTGCTACCACATTTGGAGCCACAGAATCAGAGAGAAGAGGTTTGCATTGTTAAAATCTAAGGGATGTAGAAGGCACTTCACACAGCCCGACTCGGATCCCTGATGGGGAGACATTGCTCAGTTATTGCTGGTACTTCTGAAGGGGCGCAATACAATTGGTTCTGGGAGTGCAGAAAAAAGTGAAAACTGAAACAACTTGTATCTTGCTGAAACCACACTGTCAGGAAGAGAGAGAAAACTGGAAGAATCAGGTGTTTTCTTCCCTCTCATCCTGAAACTCTTTCTCTCCTGTGCTTCCTGTTCTTCAACATCACAAAGCAGAGAAAATAAGGGTGGGTTTGGAGATGAAAGACACTAGTTAAATAAATGAACATTGTATGGCTTAGAACATTATCTGACCATTCAATAAAAGTTAACTCTCCTTTCTTTTCTTTTGCATCTTTGGCCTTGTTTTCTGCTTATTCTGAAAGTTTTCCCAGGACAAAAAAAAAAAAAAAAAAAAGGTTTAAAAGAAAGCATCACCTTTTAAGTTTATATAAATGGCTTAAAAATAAACTTTACTATACTTTATTTTCATAACTAATTCTTAATTCTTCCAAAAAGTTCATTTAACACAAATTCAATTGGAATTCTTTTTAATTTATGTTTAGTATTCACTTTGCTTCAAAACTCACAGAGGATTCTATGAGTCATAGACTGGGTTGGATACCAGATAAATTATTTCAACTACTCTCTTGTTCAGCTTATGATTTCTCAGCCTTAGTTTGTTTCCCATTCTTCCCACTTTGAGTTGATAGGAGAAAACAGAGAAAGAGAAAGATTCTACATGTCTGTCTACCTTGCATGGCTCTTAGTCGTCTTTAAATGCCTCTACTGTTAAAAAGTATTAACATATCTCAGGTATAAATTTCTATCTAAAACTTGTTTCCATGCTGCTTTTTTATCATTTATGCTTATGTTTATTTTGAAATAATAAACTCAAGACTTCCTACATTTATTTATTATGGGTTTCACAGGTTTTATTATGGGTTTCATAGGTTTATCATGGGTTTCATAAGTTTCCAAAGGTTTCTCTTAGTAACCACAAAAGCAATTTCTCTTTCTCACCTGCTGCCTCATTGAGAATACTCATAAAACTTTTAAATGTTTAAGTTTCACTACAGTATTAGAATACTGTAGTAAATTCTGAGTAACACAAGCATGAACATAAGCATTTCTCCTGATAGAATTTTTTTTTTTTTTTTTGAAAAAAGGAAAGTAAATGATTGACAGTGGTTTGTGGGGCATACCAAAGAGACATTTAAGAAAGGAACTATCTAAAGCAAATATCTTGACTCATGCATTGATGAGTGGGTGTTTGGAGAAAGGGAGCACACCCAGGTAACAGATAAAAATAACTCACACCAACAGTTTTAGAAACTCTATAATGATGTTTAACAATTATAATTTAAGTAATTGATTCTTTTGTTTCTACCAGTAAAAACCTTCTATGTAACTATCTACTAGTTAGTTACTTTCTGAGTGTCTTTTTCATATTGCTTCTAGTTGAGAACAGTAGTTCTATAGTTTCACTGAACTTTGTTTACAAATTTCAAAGTTAGCTGATTGAGAATTGCTTTGGGGTTGCTTTCAAACGTTGTCCAACTGCTCACATGCTAAGTTTTCACTTTGTGTCTGCCAGTGACTCTCAATTAAAATCACCATAGGTCTCCTCTAGCTTCTTCACTCCTCTTCACATCTCAATTTGCTGAAGTAAAATGAATAAGAACACCCCTAATTGTCTTATCTGTGATTAATTGATGACACTCGTCGCCTCCTCGGTGGGCTAAATATTTAATACAAAGGAAGGTAGAGTCATGAAAATCTGTTGTGTCAATGCCTCTGTAGAAAAGACATGTAGTAACAAATTCAGTCCACACAGTACTTCTCAACCTCAGGTTGGCCACTGGAGACTAGGTATTTGTAAGGCTCCTTGTACTGATTCTAGTTATTTTATTTGACATGCAGAATGCATTTGGGAACTTAGAGCAAAATGCATTTTAAATTATCATCTTCTATAATATAAATTTATATGTTTGTATAGTTTTACAAATTCTGTTGATGAGTTGGTTACTTTTCTGCTACATGCATTTTTCATGGTGACATAGATTTCAAGGATAATTTGGCTTTAATGTTACTCATGCTCACTTTTTCCTGCAATCATTTTAGCTAGGGGACCTATTTACATAATACCTAGTGTCTTGTTATATTTTTCCTGTTTCACGGAAAAGCCAAAATAAACAAAAATAAAATGTCTTTCCAAACATCTTTTAGTTGGAAGATCCCTGTGATATCCACCTTTCCAATAACATTTCCCAAGCTGACTCTATTTTGGAAAGGAGGTGAATCAACTTTCATAAATTAACGAATAAGGTAAAGGTCAAACATCTCAGAAACACCAGTGCAGATTTTTAATACATAGCCAGACTATTGGCAATCCAGTAATGCTTTGAATATTGCTTCAAAACACGAAGAAATAGAAAATCTGAACAAACCAATCTGTTAATCTCTAGCTCCAGTTTTTTGGTTGGCTTCCCAATCAAAAGCTTCCCAATAAAAAAACAATGATGAGAGGATGCATACAGTAGAATTTCTTCCATAGCATACATTCTCCATCATGATAACAATGTCATGAGACTTATGGCCTCATGGGAAGGCATGTCTTAAGGAAGAAAAGACTCAACCTATTCCAGAGACATTATGGAGGGTAAAAAAAAGTTGGGGCCTGGTGTGGTGGCTCATGCCTGTAATCCCAGCACTTTGGGAGGCCGAGGTGGGTGGATCACAGGTCAGGAGATCGAGACCATCTTCGCTAACATGGTGAAACCCTGTCTCTACTAAAAATACAAAAAAAATTAGCCAGGTGTGGTGGCAGGTGCCTGTAGTCCCAGCTACTCAAGAGGCTAAGGCGAGAGAATGGCATGAATCCAGGAGGCTGAGCTTGCAGTAAGCCGAGATCACACCACTGCATTCCAGCCTGGGTGACAGAGCAAGACTCCATCTCACAAAAAAAAAAAGGTGGAGAGATAGATTTAAGGGTGCTTGATGTCCTCACCCTGTACCTCAGGAGAAAGGGTGTGGTCTAGAAACATGTAAATAGATGAGGAACCTGAATCTGACAGGTTAGTAGCATTAGCTTCTGCAGGACTGAGGAACTAAGTCACTAGGAAAGATAGAGGGATATTGTATGCAAACATTTTCAATGACACATGCAATTGTCAGGATGAGAAGGGAATCAAAGAAGCAAATGATAGGAGACAGGTCTCTGGTATTAGCACATTAAGACCAAATAGACCGAAATTAGATCTACTTCAGTGCATACTATTGAAGAAAGCATACCAGTTTATCCACTCTACAGTTGAGGTCAGGGAGGAGTAAGTGAACATTGGGAAGATTTAAGGACCCAGGCTCCCATCTACTTCCTTATACAGACCAGACCTCTCCCTATAAATCCAAATGCCATATTGGAACAGAGATGGAGGGGAGAGGAATATAAAAGCCAAAACAGCTATCCTAAAGAAAGCAAGTTAATATTTAAAAGATCTCTTGATTTTCTAGCTTTGAATCATTTTAAAACTGAGTTACTGAG